TGTCCTGAAGGAGAAAGTCAAAATGGTCACCGGAGCTTCTTAGTGCCAAAACAAAATGGCCACTGAGGCTACAGAGCCTATGGGCCAGGCGCCACGAGGTGGCCGAGGCCGCAGAAGGAACAAGGGCAATGAGGGCCCTGAGGAGAGGTTGCCGAGGCAATGGTGGCAGGAGCGGCGATCTAGCGGTGGCAAGAGTGCTTAGTAGTGGCATTGGCATGCAGCAGCGGTGCTCACACTTTCCTGGTGGCATTGGCAGTGTTTGGCGGCGAGGGAAAGCCAGCAGAGGTAGCAACGCTAAGCGGAGCCTCCAACAGCCAGTGCTAGGCAACGTTGAGTCCAAGGAAGCCTTTGCAATCCGCAGGCAAAGTCAAGAGGCTGAAAGACTCCAAAGAAAACCCTGGCAGTCCCTCTCAGGAAAAGCCCTGGAGCTAATTGAGAGTGCTGGCTCCGAGAGAAGCTATTATCGACAATCCTGTCCTTCACTAGGAATTTAGAAGTAATTTTTTTTTAGAGAAGAAGCCAATTAAAACAGATTGAGGTAACCAATTCAGCAATTTTAAATAGTTAAGTTGAGGAGAGAGCAATTAGCACAGCCAGTTCCGATCGAACTGAGTCTAAAAAAGCGGGAGGACACTCTTCAGAGGCGATGACATCACTTTGGTAGACTCAGTTCTATTGGTTACTGGCTGAGTTAACCCATGCATGACCACTGTCTCCACCAACTTTGGAGAATGAGGTGGCTGGATGAAGTCACTGAAGCAGTAGGCGTGAGCTTAAATGGACTCCAGAGGATGGTAGAAGACAGGAAGGCCTGGAGGAACGTTGTCCATGGGGTCATGATGGATCGGACCTGACTTCGCAACTAACAACAACAAAGAAGATGTGGAAACTCTAGAAAGAGTGCAGAGAAGAATAAAAAAGATGATTAGGGAAATATGAAGAATGGTTGCAGGAACTGGGTATGTCTAGTTTAAAGAAAAGAAGGACTAGAGGGAGACATGATACCAGTGTTCCAATATCTCAGGGGTTGCCACAAAGAAGAGGGAGTCAAACAAAGCACCTGAGGGTAGAACAAGATGCAATGGGTGGAAACTAATCAAGGAGGGAAGCAACTTAGAACTGAGGAGAAATTTCCTGACAGTTAGAACAATTAATCAGTGGAAAAGCTTGAATCCAGAAGTTGTGAATGCCCCAACAGTGGAAGTCTTTAAGAAGATGTTGGGTAGCCATCTGTCTGAAATGGTGTAGGGTTTCCTGCCTAGGCAGGGGGTTGGACTAGAAGACCTCCAAGGTCCCTTCCAACTCTGCTATTGTATTATTGTATTATTGTATTATTGTATTATTGTTTGTATTATTGTATTATTGTT